CCCCACTCTGTCCTCTGTGAAGTGACAGCGCTGAGGGCACTGATTGTAAAGTCAATCTAAAGGGCTGTGAGTATCTGCTGCTCTTCTGAATGCTGAGCAACACAAATCAAAAGCTGCTTACATTAAAGAAATGTCCTCTCGTGTTGCATCACCCGGCTCATGATCGGTTTGCTCACTCACTCTCACACCTGACCTTACAAGCTAAAGAAGGGCTCCTCGCTGTGATTGTTACACTTGGACGTTTTTAGTTTGGCTCACCCAAACCCAGATTTAAAGAAAGGAGATTTTGCTTTGTTATTGTTTGTGTTTTTAAATGTAGGGTATTAAGTTGTTGAGTCTGAACTCTGTGAACTCGGTAAACAGATTTACCAGGATGAGCTTTTATTTCCCACCAGCACCTCTCTCACACAAGACAGTACAGATTTATTTTCTGTACGAGAGTAGAAATCAGCTGAATGCAGGTGAGCTTTGGCTCTGCCAGCCATTTGGCAGGAAATCAAGTTCTTAAATGAAAACATGTTGGTATTTTGAAGTCCTCTTGTTGCTGCGGACAGCAGATAGCAGGTTGAGACTTTAAAGTAGTTTGTGGGCCATTTTAATTTAAATATAAAAAAACAAATTTGCTTTTCACACAAAGCAATTTATGAATGTGTAGTTTGTTTGCAGCTGCAATATAGTGTGTTGGTTTCCCCCTCAGTCCTCAGTTAGCCTCTTCCATCCCACCATCGAGTTATTTTTACTGGTTATTTGTTTTTGGTGGTGTGTAATCAGTTACAGTTTAATGTGCTTTCGCCTTCATACAATGTAAGATATGTAAGCATTTTGACAGTGAAAGTGGTGTCCTCAGGGTGTGTGAGTCACACTTTTTAATGAACTTAATATTTAGTTTAATATCTTGTGGGAGCAGCTTGTTGCCACTATGAAAATGCCAATAACAGGTCCACCTTAAGTGAGCCTTAGCAATTGATGATGGCAAGTATCGATAGTTGCAGCCTTCCTTTTTCTGTATAAGTTCAAGTTGATTCATTCATATGGCTTGCTCTACCCGACCAACAGTCTTAAAGCACAAAGATGTTTAAATTTATATAGTAAATATGACAAGTAAAAGCATTACGTCAGAGAAGCTGGAACTTGCTAATGTGTAGAAACCGAATAGTTTTGAATTTGCCTAAATAGTTTCAGCTCTGACTCTTAATCGTTGTAGACTGACAGAGAACATAGATGTTGTATTGCTTCTCCTGGCCAAGTGACTCTGTCATACAAACAGACCATCTAGTCTGTCAACAAGACTTGTTGGCAGACACGTACGGGCCATTTGTTCCCTAAAAAGAACATGTTCCCCGAAACCAGACCTGACCTTTGCTGCTTTCTGCCCCTTGTGGAGGGGGAACGGACCAACTATGACACAGGGATTCCTGTTTCACAACAAACTTTCTTGCAACTGCTGTCACACACAAGCTGTACTCGATGGCTGATTACAGGTCAGATCCTGAAGCAGGACATGTATATAATACCTTCTGCTGTGGGAATCTGAAATCGGATCCAAGTGCTGCTGTGAAGGGCACCTTTCCTCTGTGAATACGGAGCACAGAAAAACCAGCGCTCCACCCCTGTAGCAGTACGAGGTATACTAACTCGGTATTGTCTGCCCTAGTTACCATAGCAACTGCCAGAGCGCCTCAGGTAGATGGGGTTGCCTTTTTCTGAGTTTGGTGAGGATCTGATGAAGAGTAGTGGAGGCTGAAACAAGTTGGAAGTCTGGGCCCTGCATCTGTCACCATCCAAGTAGAGATGCACCAATTGCAATTGATGATGACCAGTTTTTCCTAAATTGGAATCTGCTGATTCTGATTTCGGCTTATTACGAGTTGTCTAATGAATTGGCGTATAACAATGTAATGTCCTCGGCATTACATTGTTATATGTGCTGGAGACCGAGGCTGGGCAGATTTAGGTGACTGATGAAGGCCCGATGATGTGCCTGGAGCTCACTGCTGTTTCACGGCTTTGCCTCGGCCTCACTGCCTCCCTTTATCATCCTGCCAAGAGTGTACAGAACATGAACTTCAGAATGTGAATGAAAATATTTGACTGGGTAAACAGAAAGATGAAATAGGAACATATTTGTATTGTTGAAACAAAATGTTCCCAAAAATACTAGCCAACTATGTTTATCATGCAATTCATTTAGTGCCCAACAATGTCAAACATTAACTCCTGGCATCTTTTTCAGTTATGATACTTATTTATATACTTACTTATTGTTTCAGTAACATACTTAAAGGTGGGGTAGGTAAGTTTGAGAAACCGGCTCGAGATACACTTTTTGTTATATTCCAAGGAATGCTCTTAACATCCCGATAGCAATGAATATCTGAAGTGCTTTGACAAAAAATCCATTAAAAAATGTCATCTGTGGAAGAAGCCGTAGCACTGTAAAAAGCACGACCAATCATTTGAGCCGGCCCGGCTAAAATAACTGGACGGCCTACCTGCCTGTCAGCCTTCCATCTGTGCACAAACTTATCTCGTGCCGTCATTGGTCATGTGGAAGTGGCAGATTTTTTTCGGCTGTGTATTTTCAAATTCTAGCGCACTCTAGCTGGTTTCTCCAAAATTACCTACCCCACCTTTAACATCTTATAGTCACGTAACATCTGTTTTCATATTGAGGTTAAATAGTGAAAATAATCTGCTATGTTCTGCTTTGAATTTGGGGAAGAACACAGGTATGATAGAAAGACCAGAAATTAAGCTGTCAAGTTCTTCCTTATTTAAAAATATTTCCATTTTGAACTGTTTGTGAGACAAACAAACGAGTTGAATATGTCCCTTAAGGCTTCAGGACATTTTGATAGTCCTTTGTTTCCATGCTATGGTCCATAAGAGATTGTTTTTGAAAAGGCAGCCCTATTAAAATAATATTATTACATATTCTGTTAAGTGATGTAACTAATATAAATAAATATTGTAAATATAATCTTATATTCATCACAGACCCATATTTGCTGACTCACTTAAGACCCTAACTTCAGTGTTTTGTCTTCCCACGTCCTTATAAGCAGCTGCTGATTTGTAGCTGCTGTCACTGAAGCTGCTCAGACGTCATGAGTTCACTCGGTGTCCGGCGTCAACAGGGACAGGAAGTAAACAGAGCCGGTCACTCTGTTTCCTCCCTGCCACTGACAGATTTCTGCACTTGTCACGTCCTGAGTCTCTGGCTGGCCCTAATAGCTGAGAACGTCCGGAGACGGGCAGCGCTGCATGCCTGCTCCCTCTAAATATCTAAATATAGCAGTGCTTTCTACATGCACGCAGCCCTTTGGGCGCTGATTCTGTTAGGCACTGTTGTAGAGAAACCTATTTTTTTAAACAACCTTTTTTTTTATTCATTTAAGCCTCCAGTAGCGTAACATGCCATGTCATAACTCATATCAATAGTTTTATCAGCAATCTATCTTTCTGATTTATTTTTATTTTGCAGAGCTATCAAAACAATCAGCTTCTTCAAATGAAAGGCATCAGATGTAATTGTTATCATGCAGCAGCAGTTGAAATAAGGCTGAAACTAATCATGATTTCCTTTGTGGTAATACAATGATTTTAATTAGATGAATCGCAATATATTCAAAGGCATTTCCCAGATTCCAGAGTGACAACTGCTGATAGCTGGTTTTCTCTAACCAAAGTACAATACCCACTGACATTCAGTTTGAAATAAAAATAAAACCTAAACTCAAATTGGTTCCTCTCTGCTTTAGTTACAACTACAATAGTCCAGAATACTGTATGCACAACTCATTTGATCAGATAGTCAAGCCAGATGTCCAGCCTTTAGTATTTTCTCTCTTTTTCCTGTTGTCACTTTCTGTGTGGCTTGAAATACGTCTTTGCCGCGAACTCTGGGGTTCATTTACCATCTCCTCTTGTCCTGGCTGTCGGGATGAAATTACAGCTTCAGGTCTGACAATTAGCCTTAATGATGCTGCCTCCTTGCACTTTCATGAGTGCCACTGTTAAACCAGCTGCTGCTACTCTTGTGATGTGATAGTGATGCAAGCATGGCCTGACCTAATATTCATTACGAGTAGGGGTGAAAGTTGATTCACAAATGTAAAAGATCTATTCTTGTTCGTCAAGTTCTGAAAGAGGCTTTTGGACTAATACTTAAACATTATTGGCTTCTCGTGTCCAATAAGGAACCTTGTAGATGAGGGAGTCTTGGCACTGGAGTGGACTGGTAGAGGAAATGAGAAGTGGACTAATCCGTTATTAGCTGAGTTACGTCAGGGTCTGGTCAGAACCGTGTGTGAAGGGATCAGCGCCAGGTGTCAGCAGATGACCTTACAACTAACCTGTAACCGTACTGAGGATTCTTAAAAGATGGTTTCTTCTGGGATTTGAAATTAATCTTTATAGTTGCCACTGCCAGCCTTCTTATCCTTTTTTATTTAGCCTCTTTACTGGCAATGGAGTGGTGCAGGAATGAGTCCTCTTCCCCGTAAAGGAGTCAGCATTTCTTCCTGTCCCTCGCCTGGAAGTCAATGGTTTTTTGAACGGGTTTTTGGTTACAAGCCAGGAAAGAGGAAAAAAGACAGACTGGAGAGATTTTAACAGTTTAAAAAAATACCTCAGTAAATACCACACTGATGAGTTTAGGAATGGCGGTTGTGAACAAATGTCTGAATGAGACGACTAAACGTCATAACGCCGAACATTAACCGCCTTCAGCTTAGCAGTGGTGACGTGAAGTCTTTCGACCGTCTGTAGAGTGCTTTTATGTGTAGATTATCAGGCTGAACAAAAAGTACAAGTATCCTAAAGGTGTGTTGGCAACAGATCTTATTTTCTGCAATAATCCAAAATCCAATAATTTTTTTTTTAAAAAGTCCCTTGGCTTTTTGTAAAGGAAACCAGGGAGATGCTACCTTCTGCTTCAGTTTACAAAATACGTCATCACTCTATAACACATCATAATCTCCTTTTTTTCTTTGCTTCAGGTCATCTGGTGAGGATTGCCCAAGCTTTTAGGTGGAGGAGTGGCAGACAGCGCCACCCAGGCGTGCAGAGTGGGACTGCATCCCGCCCCACAAAACGTCATCCAGCATCCCGAAGCGCTGCCGCCCGATGGACCGCGCACTCTGAGAGCAGAGCGAGAGCCAGGACAGACACCAAGCGAGGAGCGGAGCGGGGGGAGAGGACAGGGAGGGCATTGTTCGCTAAGGAGAGCACACGGGCTCCACGATGTCGTCGAACAGGACCCAAAACCCCCACGGACTGAAACAGATAGGCCTGGACCAGATATGGGACGACCTGCGGGCGGGCATCCAGCAGGTTTACACACGGCAAAGCATGGCCAAGTCGCGCTACATGGAACTCTACACGTATCCTGCTGTGAGGATTATAGATTTCAATGTTGGATGATGGTAAATCCATCAAGTGCTCAAAGGAAAATAAATAAATTAGGGCTGGTAATTGGAAATGATGACCATGATTCAGGGGTTACAATAAGGTGACGTATTGCAATTTTGAGGGAAACTGTCACACTATAATGAACATATGCATAAAAGTACATGAAAAGAATTGCGATCCAACAGTGGGACATTTAACATATAGCACAGCTTTTTGTGCAATAAAGGTTATAAATGATTATGAATACTGTTGATTAAAAATCAATATACTGTTTATAGTATCCCTAAAACATAATACCCCGTTACTAAAGGTTATCGAAATGTTCTTACACACATTCAATTAATCAGCGGCATTTCCGAAGCAACATTCACAGATTTTAACTTCGAGATTTTTTTTTTTTGACTGTCAGAAAAAAGCAAGGATTTAAAAATATGTATTTCAGCTGAAAACTGTTTTATAAATGCTTTTGTCAAACTGATTTAGAAAAATTAACTATATATATACTAATATGTCTAATCTTTAATTACAAATAGAATAGGGAGGGATGAAACCCTCTTTAATGGTCACACATGCAGAATACACAGTGAAATGTGTTCTCTGCATTTAACCCATCCTAGTACCAGGAGTCTAGTACTAGGAGCAGTGGGCAGCTATTGTACAGCGCGCAGGGCAGGAGGTGAACTGGTGAGGTGAACTGACCTCTCCAAGTAGCAGTCCACACTCCATATTTAGGTCTGGTCGGGGACTTGAACCGGCGACCCTACGGCTCACAGTCCAAGCCCCTACTGACTGAGCCACTGAATCATACATATCCTTAGTGATGACCCAACTTACTCACTAGTTTATTTCCCTCATAGTTTGAGCATTCAACAGTGACACAAACATTCACCAGTTTTGTTCAGTATCCACCCTGGCTGTGTGGCAAAGTGTATTTCATGGCAATGGCTTTCTCCCTTCCTCTTCTGAAACTAAAACCTGCCCTAGTTATGAATTCTCTAAAAATGAATCCCTCAGTCCTGAAAACAAGAAACAATACTTTGATTCATAATATCTACTTAATAACTGTTCACAAATTGTTGGTCAAAGGAAGTATTTATTCTAAATGTATTTGTTGGTATTTTCGAAAGGTGTGCACACTGTTCAAGTATTTCTGTAACGTACACAAAGAGAAGACACATTTTGCTGTGTGACAAACTTCTCTTCTTGTTCCGCACAGTATGATTTAAACTATGCGAGCTCCAATCTTCGAATGACATATTCTACTTTTCAAAACTTTTTGGCCCATGTCTACATCACTGGTTAGCATTTACAGCAACCTTTGTTATAATATTAGAGTGAAGCAATAATCTTTTGAGGTAGAGAATACATACAATATTTGTCCTGCTACCCTTTATTTTACGTAAAGAAAAGACTTGACATGCTGACTTATTTGAGCAGGGATTCGCTTCAGCTTCAAAATGCGTTTGTACAGCAGGTTATTTACCTTCCACTAGTTCTTTGCTTTTTCAGTCTAATGAAAACCCTTCAACTCAACAGAAATAAAATAAAACTATTTTAGTTAGTGTTTTCATTTCCACTCCAACAATCACTAACTGTGGTTTAATCAAAATAAATGTTTGAATCATAGATTTATTTGAGAAAATGTGGCCCCCCGCTTTTTCCGTTCCTGATTTCAGCTTTGGTGAGAATACCTTGGTCTATGATGTGTATATTGTTTCTGTGTTTATTCCTTAACCCCTCCCTCAGACATGTATATAACTATTGTACCAGCGTGCACCAGTCCAGCCAGGGCCGGGGCTCCGTGCCTCCAGCCAAGCCCCCTAAAAAGTCCACCACCCCGGGCGGGGCTCAGTTTGTAGGCCTGGAGCTCTACAAGCGGCTCAAAGAGTTCCTGAAGAACTATCTGACCAGCTTGCTCAAGGTCAGTCCTCTCCACTGGGATTAAAACACATCATGTAATGTTTCACCCTCTGCACTTCACTCATATCCTTCCCCTGTTTTATTCTGCTGCAGGATGGCGAGGATCTAATGGACGAGTGTGTGTTGAAGTTTTACACCCAGCAGTGGGAGGATTACCGTTTCTCCAGTAAAGTCCTCAACGGGATCTGCGCCTACCTCAACCGTCACTGGGTCAGACGAGAGTGTGACGAGGGACGCAAGGGCATCTACGAGATCTACTCGGTGCGTATTAATATCTCTGTCAGTGTTCAGCCGGTGCATGTACATTTATTAAAGTAGGACTTATGATATTTTTACTAGAGCATTCTATTTAATGTTTACTTTGCTGCCATTTGAAAGCAAAGGTTTTTTTGTATGGATCACTAATTATATTCCATTGCTATCATTTTAATGAATGAAGAACTCTTACTTGTTACGGAGAATCCCTACTTCTACTTCAGCCTCTGTTCAGAGTAGAAGTTTAGTAAATACTCTTGGTGTGTTTTGATCCAAGTGGGTATTTCCAGCTTCTAATCTAAATTCTTTAACATGCTTTTGGAAATATAATTTTTTATGTTTTTACAAAGCATGAACGATAGTGAAAACCACCCAAAATTGCTGTGCGTAAACTTTTTTTGGAGTAGTTTTCCAGTGCAGTAACCCTTAAACCTTTCCGGCTTCACTTCCTTGAGGACAGACTTGTCTATAAATGTCAAGTCATTCCTTAAGTACAGGGCTCGTAAAAGACTTTATACCTTCAAGGTAAGAGGTGTGGATTTGAATTAGGGCTGCTCAATTAATCGCAATTACGATTTTGGCTTGCAACGATTATGAAAACAACATTTGTTTTCAATAAATGGATGTTTTCAAAGTAAATCTTTTTTAATAATCGTGATATCAATTATTGACCCAAATAATCGAGATTATGATTTTTGCAATAATCGAGCAGCCCTAATTTGAATGTACTCGTAGCCAGCATATCATCTTTTCACCCAAGCATTCACTTATGGGAGCATCAACTATGAAGGAGTTTATTTCTGGGTCTGATTAGTGGATTAGTTTATGAATCTCTTGCCAATTATTCTTGACTATGTAAACATACCAAAAAGTTACTGTTTTTTGAGGGGAGTGGAAGATTAAAATAAGAGTCTTGTGAATGCCTCGAGGCGCTGAGGATAGATTTCAGCAAGATTTGAACTACAAAAGGAGGTTGGACAGTAACAAACATTCAGCCTAAGTTCTTGATTTTGTTTATTTACTCTTTCTCTCTTTTCCTACACTGCTGTTCCCTCTCAGCTGGCACTTGTGACCTGGAGAGAATGTTTATTCCGACCTCTCAACAAACAGGTGTGTTACTTTTCTTTTTGTGGGCACGGGGTAAGAAATAACACTGCAAAGAAATGCAAACAGTTAACAATATTAAGTTTTGTCTGCCTTAATTTACCTGTAAAACTCTTAATTCCATTATTTTTGCCGCAAATAATGACCATGAGTCTGTTTACAGGTAACAAACGCTGTGCTGAAGCTGATTGAGCGGGAGCGGAATGGCGAGACCATTAACACCCGGCTGATCAGCGGGGTGGTTCAATCCTACGGTAGGTCAACAACACACGGAACAACTCGAAGAGAAACAAACAGCTGTTCTTTGCAGGCTTTAGACAACAACGGCAGCCAAATACTCTTGAGGTCCATTAGTACACTCCCCTCTGGAAATATTACAGATATTTTCTTGGTATTGGCCCTTCAAGAGATAGAGATTTGGCATACATTACGAAGTTGAACTAAAGATATGATTAACGTCAAAGTCAAGCCTCACTTAACCACACTAAACCTTCACCAAAACAAACTATATTTACTCTTAACATACATCGTTTGTATGAAGTTTACAATATTTTTGTTGTCTCATGTCGCTGAATTTAATCAAAGTTAATATGAACAGCTGGTCAAACAAACTAAAAGTTAAAAATACATGGTTTTAAGTGGGTATAAAGGATAATCTGTAAACTTTATGATAACCAAATGTTGCCTTTTATGATCGCAATTTAAACGTGATGATATTGGCTTCTAACGTCGGGAAACATTTGATTCAGTAACCTTTTTAGGGCTTGAATGTTAATAAGATGACTGTTAAAACTTTAATGCTAAAATCTTAAATTATTTGTATATAATGCAGTATTATCTTTTAATTCTGCTTTCTCTAGTTGTGGTCATGAATATATCTCCGTTGACAGTCATCAGTCAGTGGAGGACATTGGTATGAGTTTGATGTTAAGCCAACACTGTCTTAATGGGTCTAAAAAAACAACCTAAAAATACTTGACTTCGTGTCGAATATGTGCAGGAATTAGGAAGTTATTCCAAGTAAAAATACGATGTATAAAAATTGAATATGTTTGTTTGGCAAGCTCGTAGATCAGTCGAGGTGCGAGTATTTCGAAATGCAATAGTCTTTTATCAATAAAAACATTAAATTCTCCCTCTTGACAAATCTTAAAGTGACCATGACATTATGAGTCACAGCCATTTTTAAAATTGAAAAATTGCAGGTGTTATCCTCTGGTTCTCCTCACATTAACCCCTGCTCCTCCCCTGTGTCTCCCCCCTCCTCCCCCTGCAGTTGAGCTGGGTCTGAACGAGGAGGACGCCTTCGCCAAAGGCCCCACGCTGTCCGTGTACAAGGAGTACTTTGAGTGTCAGTTCCTCACGGACACAGAGCGCTTCTACACCCGCGAGAGCACCGAGTTCCTGCAGCAGAACCCCGTCACAGAGTACATGAAGAAGGTACACCACCTTTCACTTCAGATACACACTATTGTTATAAATATTTACACGTATTTAGCCTTTCACAGATCGAGTTGCATGTTTTGTTGCTTTTAAATCTTGGCGTAATCTGCATTTTGAGCTGCCCGATCAACTTATTTTATGGATTTTAAACTTTCTAACTAATAGAGAGCAGAAGGTCTCTGTCAATGGACGCCTCTCTGACTCTGTCATCACTTCCACAGGCTCGCCTCAAGGATGCGTTCTTTCGCCCCTACTTTTTATCATTTACACTGATAAATGCAGGAGCATGCAAGACAACAGCTACCTGGTTAAATTCTCTGATGATACCGCCCTCTTGTCCCTCCTTAGCGGCTCAGAATCAGGCCACGAGTGCGCTCTTACTGTTTTTATTTCCTGATGTGATGACAGTTTTCTGGATTTAAATGTCTCTAAAACCCAGGAATTGATCATTGATTTTAGACGTGACAAGGATGTTCCTAAGGAGTGCATCATACACAATGACAATGTAGAAATTGTCACATCATACAAATACTTGGGCACCATTTTCAATGACCACCTCAAATTTGATGTGAATACTGAGTGTATTGTGAAGCGGCGTCAACAGAGAATGCACCTTCTTCGCAAACTAAACTCTTTCTCTGTCAGGCCTTTCATTCTTTACCAAGCATACATTGAGAGCCTTATTTGTTTTTCTTTATCTGCTGGTTCCATAGCCTTACACTGAAAGACAGGAACAGCCTGAACAGCATTGTTAAAACCTTAACTTAACCTTGACTTAAACTCCTTCTGTAACCAACAGATTCAGCGGAAAGCAGAGAGCATTCTGGCCTCTCCAGGTCATGTTCTTGCGCATGAATTTCGTCTGTTGCCATCAGGGCGTAGATATGCTCTACCTGCTCCAAAGACTAATCCCTTTTCAAAATCATTCATCCCTTCTGCACTCAAACTTTTAAATTCTTGAAAGGTTTTTAACTTGATTATTTATGTATTTATTATTGTGATGCTATGAACTATTTATCATGTAAATTGGAATGATCCACATCTGTGCTCCCGGGTGTATCTGTGTGTTTTTTTCCTATATGTTCTTGCCTGTGTACATGACATAAACTGCTGTTCATAACCAATTGGCTCTTGCGGGATTAATAAAGTTGTTGATTGATTGATTGATATGCCAGTACAAGCTCTAGCCAATCAAACCGCGTGCTTGTGTGTCCGGGGTGGGAGATTAGTGTGATTGGTTGTTGATCGCGCTCCAGACACGCCCACCGGCAAACTTCAACGCCCGCTGCCGTGTGGACGTACTGTTTTCATATATAGCTGCTATGATAGCTACGAGAGAGTATGACAGCTTCTGGTTGTGGGCATTCTGGCTGTGCATCACTCATTCACCAATGGATTATGTTTAGATGGATTTTAGGAACTTCCCCTCGATTCTATTGGCTCTAGCGGTTAAAAAGAGGTGTCAATCATCCACGATCACCTCGACGTAGCCGTTGCTTGCCACAGCGCGAATGTGACATCCACGCCGGGCAAAACCCACGGCCCCCCCCCCCTAACGCCCACCTATCAACTGGTAGCCGTGGGGTGAAAGGGCGCCAGGTAAACGCTGACAGGCGTACTGGGGTGCGTCGTCGTCCTTTAACGGGTCAGTGTGACAGGCGGATGGCGCCTTCAGAGTTTGCCGTGGTCTGGGTGGCGTCGTAAGAGTAGACAACAGGAATGACCAGTAAACCACAAGGCCTACGATTACGGTAACATTGTATTAGTGACTACAAGGCGGCGGACATCTGCCACCATCTGGTAGTACCACCATCTGAGTAGTCTGTCTCACCCGCGCGGCGGACTTGTTCAGGTCTGGTGTCACCCAGTGTCCCTCCCCGATCCTCGAGCGTTGTTCCGCACATCCTGTCTCTCCTTATGTGTATGTGATTATAGTGGCGCGGATTGATATGCTCTCCTACGACATACTCTTTGGTTACACTACGAAACCCTTTTAACGTGGGTTCTATTTGAGATGAAGATCGATATGGGAGTTGTTGACCTTTAATACTAGTCATCTTTACGGTAGTGTACCTTGGAAAATTCCAAGTCTCAAAGACCTGATCCGCACCTGAACCGGGTTGGGGATATAGCTTTTCCCACAGATCACTTCACCTTTTCTTCGAAGGAAATGTTTCTATCTACCTACGATGACCCTATCGTCCCCGGGCCTCTCCCAGCGAGTCACGACTTAACCAGGACAAATATAGAATCAATGCTCCCTTCCCTTTCCCCCCACCCCCAGGACACCACATACGTTATTGCCCCTCCCTTCCCAAACCCCTTACCAATCAATGTGTTCACGACAGATTTCCAAGACTATACTTCCATCCAGGCACATTCCTGCTTAGATTTTAGGGGACGGTTGAGCGTCTAAAAATTTATTTTGTATTTGCGTGATGTTTATGACAAATCTGTTTGGCGTTATTTGTGAGTATAAGTTATTTTTATTTTTATGGAAACATAACCTTAGGCTAATTACCAAATGCGGGAGGAACGCGGACATGCATACCGATGACCGGTACAGGTAGAAGGGCTGGGTTTTTTGATTTTTTTCCATTCATAATCTTTGCCCCTGGACTAGTACGTTGTTCCGTGAAAAACATACAGAAAATGGAATTTGTAGGCAAAGCGACCACACAGGTCCCTTGAGGCGGCGTCGTAGTCTTGTCTTGGGAGAGAGGAGGAAAAGGAGGCATGGGTTTAGAGATATTTGCCGCCATGTGTTGCCTCGACTAGGTGCTAAACGCCGCTAAGGTCGAGTATAGTCGCGGCCTGGGTGTCGTGATAGCTCATTGTAACGGATAGTCTCGGTTGTTACGGGCTGACAAAACCTGCATTATACCAGGCCACAAATTGTAATCGTAGCGATTGTTAGTCTCGATTGGACATGACGTGTCTCGTACACACACTCTTCGTCCTTGAGTGGAAAACCCATATTGGCCGTTCTCTCTTTCGGAACCTCGAGGTATGCAAGTCTTATTAGGAACTAATTAGGAACTTTCACAAAGTAGTGCCGTCATAGACGGTCAATCTAAGAGGGCGTACTCGAGCCCGGGGGGGACGAAAAAAAAATTTCGAAACTATGTATTTTGTCGTGACAAACTGTTGTCCTCACTTTATCTCCCTATACTCGTACCGATCTTTTCCCCACCTAGACAACCCATAAAACTCGTTCGTTTTGTGAAGATCTGTACAAAAAAATATATAACACATATATAACATCTGGATACGGATATAACCGGATTTCT